AATTAAATAAGACACCACAGAAGAGTTTCTTTCAAGTGCCTTTTACTGGTAATGGAGAAAAAAACAAACAACTATTGAATGGAGTGTTGACGAAAAAAAATCTTTGCGTTTTGATCTTCATCGATTTTGATCCTAATTCTTGTTTTAGTTATTATGGCAGAAGCTGTAGAATCGATTAATAGACGAAGAAATAATTATGAATTTAATCACTCATTGATAGAAAGACTTAGACAAAGTCAAAATAATTTAAAACTAATTTGGTTTGATCCAAATATTAGATCAAAAGAAGATATGAAAACAAAAAAAGAAGAACTTCGAGTTATTAATGAACATGTCAATATATTCTCGGATCTTGACGAGTGTATTAAATTTATTAAATCAGTTAAAAATGAAAAAATATTTTTAATAACATCCGGAACACAAGCACCAGAAATTTTATCTCAAGTATCGGATTTGAGTCAAGTTGATTCGATCTTTATCTTTTGTATGCTGAAAGATCGACATGAATATTTATTAACTAAATACAATAAAATTGTTGGAATTTATACCGAGTTTGATGATTTATGTAAAACAATTGAAGATGAATTTGATTTTTTTAACAAACGTATAGAAACATTTTCTTCTTTTGAAAAAGGTGAACAATCTACAAAAGATTTATCAAAAGAATCATCAACATTTCTTTGGTATCAAATATTTAATTATATTATAACTCGTCTTCCAAGAAATCAACAAGCAAAAGAACAAATGATTCAATTGTGTAAAGATTATTATTGTCGAAATCGAGAAGAAATGAAAAATATTGTAGAATTTGAACAAACATATCGATCGGAAAATGCAATTTATTGGTATTCGAAAAAATCATTTCTATATAAAATAGTTAATAAAGTATTACGAACTGAAAGTATTGAATTAATACATGCATTTCGAGTTTTTATTTGTGATTTATCGGAAAATCTTCAATGTCAACATAAAAAGATTTTTTTGTCAAAAGAAAAAATTTTACATCTTTATCGAGGAGCTGCACTTGATATAAAAGAATTTAATAGATTAAAACAAAGTCAAGGAAAACTTATTTCAACAAATGGATATTTATCAACTAGTCGAGAAGAATCACAAGCACGTGCATATGCAAATAAATCTTCAAAAAGAAATGATATCATTCGTGTTCTATTTCATATTGAAATTAATATTGAAAAAATTGATAAAAATATTATTTTTGCTGATATTACTGAATTAAGTGATAATCCAAAAGAAGCCGAAGTTTTATTTGATATAAATGCTTGTTTTGAAATTAAATCATTTCAAGAAGATAAATCATTTCAAATAATTAATATGAAACTTTCAAATGAAGGACCAAAAATTGCTAAAGATTTTCTTGAATCAACAAGAAAAGAAATTGAAGGAACAAGTGATTCAATTATTGTTGGTAGATTATTATGTGATTTAGGAGAATATGATGAATCACAAAAATATTTTGAACAATTATTAGATAAATCAAATAATGAAGATCGTCCTTGGATTGAATTTAATATTGGTCGAGCTCTTGATTTCAAAGGTCAATGGAAAGAAGCTGAAAAATATTATAATTGTGCATATAATCTAATGATGGAAGATGGATCAAAACGATTAAAAGATGCTGCTCATGTTCTTAATAGTATGGGTAACGTTCTTCATCGACATAAAAAAGATGATGAAGCTCTCGGATGTCATCAAAAGGCATTGAAAATTCAAGAGAAATATTATCCATCCAATCAAGCTGATATTGCGACAAGTCTAAACAATATCGGTAAAATTCTCACTCGTCAAGAAAAACATACTGAAGCTCTCGAGTATTATCAACAAGCGTCAACAATATATGAAAAACTTTATCCATCAGGTCATGCCAATCTTGCTGACACTTTGAATAATATTGGCGTTTCTCATGAAAATCAGAACAACCAAAAGATGGCACTTGACTATTTTGAGCGTGCTTTGACACTTAATGTAAAATTTCGCCCTCTTGATCATGAAAATCTAAAGAAAACCAAAGATGCTATTCGTCGACTTCCTGCAACAAAATAAAGATTTTGAACTTCAAAATTAACAATTAAATTTCTTTTATGATGAAAGGATTTTGTTTTTGGATGTAGATATCCTCTTAAATCCAATTAGATCCACACTCTAACTTTCACATGTTTACTTTTTCTTTATTACAATGCAGATGTATGCGAAACAAAAATGAAAATCGTACGAGAAATTGAGTTTGATAATGATTTTTCATCAAAACATAGCACCATTTATTTCTCTACCGTTTGATATCATTGCTAATCATTAATTTTAATCTGTCTATTCTCGGTAATGTTTTTAGCTTGCAGAACAAAAAACAGTCATGCCTATCAGCTCAAAGGTTATCAAAATTTATCAAGAGAAGTTTGATTCTACAGGATGCTCTTCACATTTTCTGAAAGTTCAAAATATTCTCTACAAAGTGGTTCAAAACATTAAATGATTGTTGGATGTGGGCATGCATATTTTCTTTCTCGTCGATCACATTCATTATGTCCAGTAATTAACTTCATGACAACTACGTGATTTGTAAATCTAAGAAATCCGAAAGTTAACAAGTATGAGTAGATTATAAACGGTTAACAGATAAGAATATGTTAAAATCGATGAAAAACAAGAATGGCAGTATTTTAATCCTATTTCTAATTAAAATCATTATTTTGATTGATTTTTAGAGATGTAATAGACTATGACTAATAAATCCTATATTTGTAGATACGTACACATAGGTTTTTCTTTCAAAATGATAATAACAATAACAAAAAGAAAGTACAGATAGCTATTGTAATTTACATACAACGTGTAATTGTTATTTGAAGTTGTTAGAGTACTTGCAGTTACTTAACAGTCTAGAACTGTAAAAAATACAAAGAAAAAAGAATTTTCATGCTATCGTCAATTCATTTAAGTATGTTTTCAAAAGTATAGACAAATAATAGAATAGTAAAAGTTATACTTTTGATTTTTTATAAAAATATAAGTTCAATTTGATCGTAAGATGAGATAAATAAATTATTACTTATCACACTTATAGAAAACGAACCGTTCATTCTGATATTGAATACATGACAATATTAAGGCCTGATATACCTCTATGTCAAATATATGCCATAAAGCACAAAAATTATGTTTTCGACTTACTTATAATCGAGTGCAGGGTATGGTCATTTTACTTTGTGCTTTTTCTTTTTCTTTTTCTCACTCATTCTCGAAATAAGTGGTTACAGTTAAAAACGAAGAGTCGTTTATTTTGTCTTACGTTACTTGTATGAACAAGTATGAAAGAAAGAAAGAAAGAATTAAAAAAAAACAGTCTTATTATCTCATCAATTTATTTTTCGTATTGATTAATCTCTAATAAACTTTATGCTCTTTGACTATAGTGTAATATTAAAATGATCATTTGAATGATAGTTGAATAGCTCGACATTCTTAGTAAGCCGATGAAGAAAAGAAAATATCAAAATATTTAAATAGTTACTGTCAACAATATACCTACAATCTATTTGAGACATATGCAATTTGCAAATAAACACCTGTTATATGCTTTCATCTTTTAACCTATCGTCAGTCTATGATAGGATTGAATATATTATATTTTGTTCTTCTGTTCTCTATGGTAAATACTGAACTTTGGCACACCAAATATGAAGCGAGTTTTCACTGCCATTTATATATGCATGCTTTTTTTATTATCTATATAACCTCTGTCAAGAAAGTCTTGGCACAATATACTCGCTCATTTTCCGATCACTGAAAAGCAATTAGTAAGATTCAGAATTTTATGCTCTTTCTGAATATGGACTCAGAAATTTTGTGTCTATTTTTGCTCAACACTAGTGAGGGAATCTTTGAAAAGCCTAAAAACAAATAGTTTTGACGGAATAGTTGGGCAGAAGTTTCTTAATACAATATGTGTTCGTTTTTGGCCTGCTTGAAAGTATTTCAGACGAACGAAAACCTATGAATTATGACCAAAATCTTATGCACTTTTCGAATATGGGCTCAAAAATTGTGTATCTATTTTTATTCGAGAAAAGCAAGGAAACCTTTGAAAGGCATACAAATCAGTTTTGGACAGCGAGCAAGCAGATTTTTGTTAACTCTTCAATAAGTCCGTTTGCGAAGGAATTCAAAATTATCGGAATCGATGATTTTGTAGAGCGAACACTTGTTTACAACATATGATATCATACTAAACTATAACTTAAAGTTATAACAATTTTCTCAAGAACTAGTTTCTATGTAAAACTTTGCTCTACAAGCTGATATATCAACAAATATTTCCAACTTTTAGTTTCAGATCTCAATAGTGAGTATGTACGAAAAGTTTTTTTTCGTCCAAACTAATATTTTAGGTCTTTCAAAGATTCCCTCACTACTGTTGAGCAAAAATAGATACAAAATTCTGAATCTTACTAATTGCTTTTGACTCTCGCTAGTTGCTTTTCAGTGATCGAAAAATGAGCGAGTATATTGTGCCAAGACTTTCTTGATAGAAGTTACTTGAGTTTTTTTTTGTTTTTCAACAGATAAACAATTTATTATTCAATGTCGTATCTCGATTGAAAAACAACGAGTAATTATTTATCAGTAATGATGGTATTCATAAAAAGACAAAATTATTTTATAAATGCAATTACAAATTTCAATGGCAGAAAAATATAGAATAGTCGTCATACAAGTATTTTTATAGCAACAAATAATTCAATGTTATTGATAAGACTTTAGCAATATAATATAAATGACATTACCATATGTTATTTTTATGATAGAAGAAGTTTTAAAAAAACAACAACAACAACAACAAGAATGTTAATATTGTCATAAAAGAGACTTGATGTCATCATTTTATAGAACAATGAGATTTAGTTGAAATACAAAACTGATTAATCGGAGTAAGAGAAAAAACTTTTTGAATAAATGTTATTTAATGTAATAGAAAACAAGTGAAATAATTGATATGATAATATCAATTAAATATATCCTACACGAAATAACTTATTCATTTTATTGAATACGAAACAACATATAAATTATACATAAACAAAAAAGTTCCTTTTTTTTCTCCTCAAAGTATTTCACTTCTATTTCGAATATTCAATTTATATGATTCATTAGGTATTTTTTCAATTATTTTATTTTGATTTATTCTTGTCGAACCAATAGATTGTTTAGGGTATATTTTAATCTTTCGATAACGTATAAATAATAATGATAAAATACGAAAAACTTCTTTTCGATATTTTTTACTTGTTAATGAATATGTATAAAATATTGTACTATTACAAATATAAGAAATTTCAATTGATATTTGATTAATAAGATTATCAATAGCTATTCTTAATGGACTTTTTATCATATAAATTATTGAATATGAATAAATTTTGTGTGCTGTTATTGGTATACCAAATAGAATAAAAGAAAATACTTGTATAAATAATAATCGTATTAATTGTACATCTCGACGACGACGACGACAACAATAACCACCACCACCAACATGATTTGAATATTTAACATTACGAATTGTTAATATACTAGTTAATATCATTAATATAGGTGGTAAACAAGAATTACATATAAGTAAAATAATTTCATTTAATAATTTACATGTTTGATTTGTATATGTGCACGATGCACCTGATATTGTATAACAATAAAATACTTGTGTATAAGGACAAATAAAACAAATAATAATAGCTAAAATTATAATACGTTTAGTTAAATATATTGAACTCCATAATCGAATATTAACATTATTAGAAGTTGAAAATAATCGATCAATACATGCTAAGAGAATAAACCATGTTGAAAGTGTAATTGTTGAATAACGAAGATAAAAACGTATTTCACATAAAATATTAGATGTTTGTGTTGGATCAAGATTATATGTTCCAAGAAAAGGTGTTATTAAACCAACATAAAGAGAAATAAAATTTGCAATACTACCACTAACAAAATAAATTGAACATGGATTTGTTCGAATTAATGGACGAGTAAAAACTAATATATTTAATATATGACCAATACTTCCAAGAATAAGACATGTTATTGGAATATAACGATTTAATTGAAATCTTATGAAATTAAAATATTCAATTGTTGATTTACTACTTGCATTCATTGTAAATAATTATTGTTTTATAACTGAATGAAAGCAAATTTTTTTTCTAGAATAAAATTACAATTTTATCTATTGACATGTACGTTATTTCATTTGCTCGAGGGTTCTGTATGTGATAAAGTATAAATGAACATCTTCCTATGCCTTCATTAGTTAACTAGCACGAAGATAAGTGTATCTTGGTAAAAATAAATGAAAACAATTCTAATATTCATAATTAAAGATTTTATAAAAATTCATTGTTGAGCATGAATAATAATAATAATAATCTACTTAGAGTTGACCAAAAGTTTTGACCATGGTGTTTAAAGGACCTTGTCAGATAAAGTGACCTATTCAAAATTGAAAAACCAAATATACCATGTTGTAGAGTTTTTTTAGGCGTGTCGAATCGTATATAGTAAATCTTGTTTTCATAAGATTTTAAAGGAACTAGAGTCAATTTACTGATAGACGACTACACACCCATACTCAAGCATGATAAGTTACTGAATATATTTTTTCTCAAATACGATTATGTTTCGACACGCCTCAAAAAGCTCTACAACATGTTATATTTGGTTTTTCATTTCTGAAAAGGTCACTTTATCCGACAAGGTCCTTTAAACGCTGTGACCAAAACTTTTGATCAACTCTGAGTATTATTTCTAATAGCTTACGATACATTTTTCATCTTAGAATGATAAATTTCATGAACTAATATTAACCTTTGTAAAACAAATTCAATGAAATATTTCACAAAACAGATGAATATTAATCACATGAAAGGCAATTTTTAGATACTGAAATTTCTTTCAATGACAGATAGATATTGTTTAAAATATTTATCAAATATCACTTTTTTATTTACAATTACATGTAAGAAAAATTTGTAATAATAACATTCATGATCTATCTCGAATTATAAACATTTTATATGCATTAAGACATTGTATTTGCTATTTTTGACGATATTAAAAAATGATTTTGAGTTATAATTCTACACTTTTTAGAATTTTTTTTATAAATTTTAAGTAGGACTCATGCATTTCTCTTTCGAGAGAAAGTGGAGAAAAAAAGTTTAGCATATTTTTAGTGTTTAATCTAGGTTTTTTTTTAACCAATAATAACTGAAAGCAGTTTTATACACCATTCAGTGTAGAATTTAATGAGCTACATTTTGTTATAAAGCACTCATTCTGATATTAAAATATTAATTAATTATTATTTTCAATTTCTAAGTATTCCATGAGCAAGTGCATTAAAAATTGAACAAAAATGATGTAATTATTATTTGAAAATAGACCATCTTGATAAGATTTTCAGAGTATTTTCAGTTTTGACTTTTTCTTTCAAATAGTACGTTTCCGTCTTCAATACAATATTCTTTTCAAATGTTACAACGTTTTCAAATTATGAACTGTAAAATTACAATAAAATGGTTGGAAATTATGATCTAAATTATGCAAAACATTGTTCAAAATGCACTAGTTTTTCTAGATTTGTAGTTGACTTTTTGACGATAATGAGCATATTCGACTAGTTAAAACTAAAAACACTCTGAAAGTCTTGTCAAGAGGGTCTATTTTCAAATAATAATTACATCGTTTTCTTCAATTTTTAATGCTCTTTCTCATGGAATACTTAGAAATTGAAAATAGTAATTAATTAATATTTTAATATCAGAATGAGTGCTTTACAACAAAATATAGCCCATTAAATTCTGTACTAAACGGTGTATGAAACTGCTTTCAGTTATTGTTGGTTTACGAAAAACTAGGCTTAACATTAAACATGTGCTAAAATTTTCTTTTTTTCGCTGAAGAAAATGTTTTTCGTGTAATAAAACCTAAAATATCTATGCTCTAAAAATTGTTCGTATCTCAATTTTGTAGATCGATCTGACTAGGAAATATATCCAAGTATCAAGTCTCTTTCGAGTTAAAATTCTATGCATTATGTAGATCCTAATGAGCTATGAATATTCTGAAAAAAAGTTCGAACTATTGGTTGATCGTTGCCGAAGCATTACATTTTTATGGCAACATATTATAATGATGTTAAAATAATCATGACAGCGATGATTCGATCGGGAAACGGCGATGTCGGAGGTGTAACTTTTCCTCTCTATTATAGGAAATTTTCTTTTTGTATCCTATAAGCAGAAAGATACTTCCTCTTGGCAAAAAATCGCAAAATCCCTAACGTTGGCTACTTCAGACCATAACTGAATTATGATTTTCAAGATTGTTTTCTAATTTCAACTGACTCATTATTAATGGGAAAAAAAAAACTTTTGTTAGTACATATAAATCTAGGTCAAATTTGTTTTTGATTAAGAAAAGTAAATCAAAATAATTTTATTCTTAAAATTATGATTGAAATATCTCGTTTGATAATTGATTTCTCTATTTAAATAAACATTTTTTATAACTATATCATTCAGAAAAAAAACAAGGAAATCCTTAAATAAAGCTTCTTTCAAGTCATCATAAATTGTTGCTAACAGATTTTCTAATAGTCAACATATAAAATCTAAGAAGAAATATTACCTTATAATCTGAAATATAACACCAAAGTTTGTTTTTTAAATTCACATATATTTCAGCAAGTAAACAACTGTTGTTAGAAGCGGTTGCTGTGTAAAAAAAAAAGATCTTAACCTTTTCTTTATTCGTCGATCGTCTTTGCCAATTTATTTTTGTTGAACTGAAAATAATTGATCTAATTGCTTTTTGTTGTTTCTAGTTTGAAAAATATAAAAGAAAAAAAATTTTTTATGACTAGTTAAGAATTCATCATTATTCTGTTGGATGGACTGGCTTTTCCGACAATAAAAATGTCCTCATTTCTTAAAGGGAATATCATTTGTGTTTTTCTTTTCTTCATCGAGTGTTCATTATCTCAAGATCTCTTCAAATACAACTTCATGCCAATTTATTCTTTGAACTAAAGATTTTTCCGTCATATATAATCTTTGATTAATTAGTCCCGACTTTATTCGTCAATGATATATATTTAGTCCAATTATTTCATGTCATTACGTCGTTTCAGATTAGAAGATGATGTTCAACAAATTACTTAACATAATTTTCTTATGAAAAGATTTGAAAGAATCAATTAGCTTAGATAAAAGTTGTTATTTAGAATTTATTCTTATAGTTTATAGCATTGGGAATGCATCAATTCGAATTATTAGACTTGATTGGCATTGACTATTGTAAAATTATTAATTTTGCGTATATTTATATAAATTAATAATTTGTTTCAAATTATTTCAAAATCAATTTCAAGCTAAAAATCAGAATTGGAATTGATGCATTCCTTTATAGCATGATGATTTCATATTGTTTTCTGGATCTATATGAAATTTTTTCTACTCTATCCTGTTTACATATTAAGCATTGAGTACGACTATCTTTCAAACGATTTGTTTATTTGTTAAATTTGATATATGTTCAATCAAGTATTCATAGCAGTTCTATCAAAAAATACTAGCAGTTTGACGTCATTGAAATTATTCTTGTTATCAAAACTTCCTTTAAAATATAGTCAGCTAAAATCTTAGCCCATTATCCACCATAGCGATGCTAGGAGAGTCACTGATGAAACAATCATTCGAATAGGATATTGGTGTCTTTGATATATCAATGATATGAACAGATTGATCAGGCACATCTTGTTTGATTACTCTAGTGATTATTAGAGGGGAGAATGACTTAGCAAAAATTTTATTTGACGCTTGCCGTAAATCTGATGTAGTTCAAGGAAAAAACGTTGTAGAGAGCTCGAGAACATCTCGTTTTGTAGACGTTGAAAAACTAAAAGTTTAGTTTTTGTGAAACTTTCGAATAGATTTGATGCCAATGGTAGACATTGTCATTGATATATATCAAACAATACATTTCCATCATATATCTTGTTTGTTAGTAGAAAAAATTTTATTTCCGAAAAAAATCTAATGTTTGCAGTTTTTTTCAAACTTATTAATTTTTATAATCCAGCTTTTTTCGAAGATCGATCAATATAAAACAAAATATTTTCTTATCAATTGATAGTTTATGAAGTTCACTACAAGACATGTTACCTTTATTTTCTACAAATAGTCGCTCACATAGACGACGGAATGGTGTGAATCTAGAGTATGCTTGACAATTTCTATATAAGTTCTCCGTCGAATAGTTAAGAATAAGGATGAGGAAGAGAGCGAATTATTTTATGCTATTTCGAAGAAAATATAGTGTTTCTTTTTTTTTCAACTCACATTTTATACTGTATAAATTCACTACCGTTCAGAAAAAATTCTCATCTTGCATCGACAACAGGGTACACTTGAAGAAGTATATCAACATTTGTCTTTAATTAGTTTTGACTCTCGAAAGAAGAGTTCTCAAAATAGAATAATTAATAAAGCAATAGCGTTCACAAAAAAAAAAATTTTGTTGTGTATTTTCTCTCTTTGTTGAAAATGTTTCTTAGGCATATAAACGATATGGGTTAGGATGGCTATTTTCTGGCCCAAAGTTTTTTAACTTTTACCCTTCTAAAAAGTGTTAGAGAGTTACTAGAAGTGTTTTCTATCACTTAGTTTCACACCATTTCATAGTTACGTTTTTACTCCCCTGTGGTCCCCTCAGGGATCGAAAAAACGTTTTTTTCAAATATCCTCAGAAGCATATCATTTATATGCAATTTTGCGCGCTGATCACGAATATCATATTTATATTTCGATTAGATTGAGTTTTATAAATGAAAAACGTATTTTAACGTTAAATGGTCTATAGGACCGTTTTCCAATTTATCGGCTTATCTATGTATGAAAATATGCCAAAATATTTGCTCTAGTCGTTGCAAAATGATTTAATTTTAAAAACAATCAATAAACAGTCCATATATGTAATAGTTGAAACTTGAATTCAAGTATCGAAGTATTCAACTATTCAACTATTCAACTATTCAAGTATTCAAGTATTCAGCTATTCAAGTATTCAACTATTCAAGTATTCAACTATTCAACTATT